ATCTTTTCCCTTTTTCCCCACCCCTTCTCATAACGACTTAATCTGTTACGTAACAGCTACTATTCTTTGGCAAGGTTTACACAAAAAATTGTTTAAAGCTATTTATAAAAGGATTTTATATTTACAGTTGCCACTAAAAGTATCTGCATATATCTGTATTATCCTATGAAACACTTTTTTATCAAGTTCTACGTTTCATTTTCATAGCGTCAAGCTTTCATAGTCGTATAAAACTACCGCTAAATGATACAAAATTTAATATACTTGTAGCTATATTAATTACCATATAGATGCTATACTTAAAGCGGGGACTTTTAGGCAAATTCTTTTTTTCGAGAATATAATTCAAGAAACAAAGCAAGTACTACAGAAAGCACTACTATACTTTGCATATTCCATGTGTTTAATCATACTACGCACATTCTGCGTACTCTCGCAGTTTTAAATTTCTTTCAATAAATCAACGGTGTGCAAATACTTTTACTTGTAGCCACTGAATCCATATAAACCGGGAATAAGAAAGCAACGCGAAAATTTGTGGAAATAACATAACCGGTTAATCGGCTGGTCTCGACGGGCCATGTCGTCAACGAGTTCGTCGTCGTCTAGACTTGTTGCAGACGTGACCTAAGGTCCGGATTAATTTTAGCAGTATTTTGTTTCGACCGCGTCTCGCGTTGTACGCGACGAGAGAGCCGAAGAACCCATTGGCTCGTCCGGAACACGTCGGTATTCCAGAATATTTCGCACGTGCACCGCGCAAGCCAGGCTCTGCTTCGCGGAAACGCATCATGGCGCCAGAAGCATCGACCGCGAGGCCGTGGTTTCCGCCCGACCGTTTTCCTCGTTCGTTAAAATTCCCACGTGCCACGCCAACGAGGAGAAACAGTAGTCGGGTCAAAAAGAGGTTTTCCAACTTTGTTTAAACTTTCACGGCGTAACTATACGAGCAATATCTGAACTATGCACGAGCATAACAACGATGGTAGAACGTTCGCGCTTCTCGCGGGCGAGATATCTTTCCACTGATCTTATTATAGAATAAACTTGTGATCGAATCGAGTTAACGACGTGTTAAATTATGATTTCCAGCGGACCGTTGCGTATTCATAAGCCTAATGATTAATATCTACGAAACTAGCCGGTGCAAAAATAACAATACACATAAATTGGTAAGAGAGTTCGAGAATCGCATACCGTAGCTGTACTCTGAAAGAAGTTTTATTCAACGAGCGTCGTAGACTTGTTGGTCACAAAGAATCATTGTCATAGTATCAGAACAATGACATGTCTAACGAAACGTACGAAATTTGTACCTCTGAATGTATCGTGAACGTATTGCGAGACGATTTAGCGCAAAATTACAATGAAGTATCTCATTTTGCCAAAATTCTCAGTGATACGTTTTTAAATTGTATCGTATGAAATTGTAAAATATTTTGTCACGGAATGCTTCTTTCTCGGATACTGTCTTCCTTCGCAGTTGGACGATACAGAGTCCTCTTCGCATCGGCACAGATTATTGATGCAATAGAATCGTTCATAGATCCTCTAATTGAGCAGCTTATTTTGTAACGAACAGAATTACGTTAATTTGCTGAACGATCGACGCATGCCAGATAAACAAAGCGTTTCTCTATCGAAAGATACGATCGTTCCGCAAAGAACGAACTTTCTAATTGCACCTGAAATCCCGTGAGCACGTTGTCGCCGGTAGCTGGTAATCGGAAACCATGCAAGAGCGCGCACGGTTACGAAACACGCTTTTAATTACATGGTCTGGGTGATCTTGGCACCTGTGAAACGGTGAAACGGTTCACCAGGGAAACCTGCGTACGCCTTACGAGACTTTCGACGATGACCAGTACGCTTGCGATACTCGTCGATGACAATCCTTCTAACGTATTTACATTCTCGTATTAATTGGACAACGCGGCATACATATTACGCGTGGAAATACACTTCACCAGACTAAATGTCGAATAATCGTACGGATGTACGATAAAACGCGTTGCACTCGTTCTTTTCACAAGGAACAGATCGCACGGGTCGATTCGGAAAGAGCTGGGAATTATGTTCTGCGCGGTCAGATCAAGATCAAGTTGAATCGGAGCAGGGTAAGAAATACGACGCGCAATACCGATACTACGTTCCTTTCTTCCGTTGCGGCTCGTATCGCGCTCACACGCGCCATGCCGCCTGCATAAATCAGTTGTGTCAATTAAGAAGTTCGAAATCATTGCAAAATCGTGACGCCCTGTGAATATATCGTTCGAACGACCGATGACGATGAGCCTTCGAGAGTTGTTAGTTATGCTCGGTGAAGGAAATGGGCGATTAGAGGTCGGGAATTAACCTTTGTTCTACGCTAACGCTCGAAACCGAATCCTTCTTTGGTGCACATGTCGAAGTAACTTTTGTTAATAGGGAGAAGATACATGCGTGAACATTTAAATGCTACTACTAATCCTTTATAGTTATGACATTATATGTGTAATCGAAAATGAAAATAGTTCCATGTCACACAGAACGTGTGCATCTAAGAATATTCGATAATTGTACTTGTTGTTGGTATATAAATTGAGTGCTCTTTACTTCCTTGTTATTCTATTATAAATCTGTTATATCATTGGCATCGTATTTTTAATTCAGAATCGAAGTGCAGATAAGTGAATTCAACATGCGAAAAGTTCGTTCGATCGAGTACTAAGAAAAATTTCGTTCGTGTAAGCGGAGTTTTATTACAAAAGATGAAAAAATCTGTTACAATTTCCCAATAAATGTAACAAGTAGCTGGTCTAATACATATGTCTAACAGTGTACGTGTTTTGTAGTAAACGAATTAAGAACATCGATCATCTTGTCGCGTTAGAAGATCGGAATTGCAAAGACAGTGACAATTGTTCGTGTGTTCCCGCGATGTTGAATCGACATCAGATTTTTATGTACGGTCTATTTCACTCATAGGTAAACCGACTCGACGTGCGTTCCAAAGTTCGCTCATCCGAAACGTTGGCAGGGAAAGAGAGAAATAGATGAGGCAAGAGAGCCAGCGAGATCGTAGAAGAGCATAGGAGAAGAAAGGAAAGGGAAGAAGCAAAGGAACGAGAAAGGAGAGAGAGAGGCGAATGACGTTGACCTCAAACGAGGCGCCCGGCAGTTGGACGGTGCAGGAAGGGAGGACGCGACGCCGCGCGCCGCGACGCTGACGCACCGTGTATATTTGGCTAGGGTCCGCCACGTCCGATCGTAGTAGTTCTTTCCGCGGTAGATAATCTCGAGTGACTGCTATCCTCGATATCCTCTAGGTCATATTGTTCCGATTTTAAACCTCCATTTCATGGTCTCTATTTTTTCACCTAACTGTCTCGTCAGTCACCGATAACACCTCTAATTTTCTAGTATTTTCAAACGTATCATCTTTGTCCACTATTATTAACTCGTCTGATGTTTATCGTTTCGCCGTTGTGAAACTTCCAATTTTGGCGTCGCTCTAGTTTTTTTTAAATACCAATGGACCGGTTAACTTTGAAATAGTAAAAATTCGAAGGGACACAGATTTTTTATTTACAAATGCTTTTTTTTTCGTCGTCTAGATTCGTATGGAATTAGTCATTCTGGTCGTTCGTCAGCTTGAGTTCGCGTCACGAAGACTATAAACGAGTCATGGTACGGACTTATTAGGTCAAAAGTATGGCTCAGATGTTTCATAGAATCTAAGAATTTCAAAATTGGTTGAAAAATATCTGATCCTGGAACACTTTTCGCTAGAAAATTTATCGAGATAAGGGTCGTTGCTACTTGTATCCGTAACATTAATTTTAATTAATAATCAGCGATCTTCTCGCTGGTGATAAAGATGATCTGTAACGAATGCAATCGAGTTTTTTCCTTTTACCAAAATAGCCGATTTTATCTTCAGGTAGCGTTTTCAAGCGCGAGCAAACTGAAGTGGATGCAAAACGAGAGGGGCGGGAAAACGTCGGGGCAAGCGTCTCGGAGCCAAAAGTTCGGGGTGACTGTAAAGAGTAGAGAAAAGTCGAGGGGGTTGGTAAGCAACGCGAGGATTCGTTGTACGCAGAAGAAACAGCAACCGTCGACTACCGGCGCTTCGAGAATTTATGGACGAGCCCTTCTTTCTCTTACTCTCTCTCTCTCCTCTCTCTCTCTCTCTCTCTCGTCGGGTACCGCGTATCCGGCCGGTGCGGTGCTCAGAAAAAGCGAAACCTGCACGAGAGGACTTCGGCGTTACATTGTGTAGCGGCAGTCGCCGATCCTCCGAAAGAGATTTCCTTTTTCTCCGTATGGAAATGAGCAGGCATTTCTTTCATCACGGCCTTATTCAATGTCTGCTTGCGCGTACATCATATTTTCCTCTTACCCTTTGCCGATGTTCTACATACTCCAATGTTTCAACAATTTCGCCATCTCCATCCCTTAAACATCGTTCCTCCATCCCGTTCCATCGTTCCTTTCATTTCGCGGAGACGTCGAGAGGTTCTTCAAAGGGCGGATAGTTACATTTTCTTGCCATGTTTCGCGTAACGCGCGGAAATTCGTTTTGTCTCGCGTTTTGATGATATTTCACGCCGGCACGGAGTCAGGGAAATTCGAAAATGTTCGTAAATAATTTCGAGTGAGCGACACAAATGTAAGGCAGAACGTTTGAAAGAGATTTCAACTTGCTGTACGATTCAGACGGTACGCTAAAAATATTAAGAGACAGCACGCTTGTTCGATGTGTATGCAAACGAATTTTCATTCGTTTTCGCTCTTTCATGCAAACGACACCGACGAGCAAGCTCTGTGTTTTATAACGAGTTCACTTCGTTCTTATCATACGGTCACACTCTTCAATTTTTCCGTATATGTGCAGGCTATTGGTTTATAAGCGCAGATTTATCCAGATATATCAACATCGAGATAGATTCACAAGCAAATTAACGACTGGAATGTACTTGTTGTGACAGTTAGAGGTGGTAGAAAGAGAGGAAACTCACCGTGTGAAGCTTGCGTCCGACGCTACGTACTGTTGCAATTTGAGAAGAAGTTCGTCCCTTCCACCTTCGTCGCCACTTCCTCCAACATTGCAAATACCGGTCCCAGTAGGACTTAGAGTATAATTAACGTCATCGCAGTCTTCGTCGATCCCCATTGCTGTACAAACCGAAATGTAATAATATTTAATCAAAGAGGAAGTAAAAAGGTAAAACTTATTTCGACTTGCTATACGTTATTGTAACTTAGAAAAATAAAAGAAAATATTCCTGCCTGTTTCGTTACGTATCTTAACATATTAAAGACGATTTATCATTTTTCCAGCGAATTTACGTTATTGAATTTGAATTTTTATCTTTTGTCTAGATTTTAGAATTTTAAGAATTTCCAAGCAATTCAATTATATATTTATATAAATATAAATTATATATTTTTTTTAAATCAATCTATACCTTTTCACGTGTTTCTGATTTATATAATCCTTATGCAGCGGCACATGAGTAGAGGACAAGTGAAATCATGTTGTTGTTTTGCCTCGGAGTATCAAGATCGTTAAGACACATGTAATGTAAGAATAAATAGACTCTGAGCAAAACAATGTCGCCGTTACGCGCAACCGTCGAACGAAGACGAATTTGAATTTTCCGACTCTCTCCCGACCAGAATAAATGAACCGACGCAACCGAAAAGAGTAGTATCTACGAGTATCTTTCTGTTTTTGACAAGTATCTAGCGAGCATTTATCGAGTATTAATTAGCAATTTTACTTTGCGATTTACACTGTGTACGAGCGACTCAGCGAATATAGCCTGTATATCTACTTATTATTTTTAAATATATTCGACGGTTGCGACAACAAGCAATAACATCTAATAAATCTCACGGTCAAACATCCTATATACCAGTCCTCTACACTTACGTAACGTACTTCTTATAATAATGCGTTTTTTGTTTTGCATAGTTCTTACAATTATGCTTCGTCGGAACAGTATAACTTACTCTGTTTACCTACGTGTTTCAATGACGTTACATTTGCACAACTTTCGTCCCTTATTGATAAACAGATTAAAAAATAAAAGAAAAGAAAACGAAAATATGTCAACAGTTGTACAGTTACGTAAATTGCTAAACGATATTAAGATAAGTGGCTCGAAGGAATATGACGACAAATAATGTTATTCGAACCGGTTCGCTCGAATTCAGCCGGTTCGTTGCACCGATCGTGAACATTCGTTTCTCTGTATTTCTGCTGAGACAATTTCCCTGTATCCACGGCTATCGCGCACACGATAGAAGGTTGCCCGTGTGTAACTAGCGTGTCCGTAACGACTCGTGACAAAGAACGAGATAGAGATTCAAAGGAGAAGGCAGCAGGGATAACCGGACGCTTTAAACGGAGCAGTTCCTGCTTCCAAGTCTGCTTTCCACCGTCCCCTTGTGTTCGCCTTCCTCCGCCTCCCTACATTTCTTCCATTTCCCTCCGCGTGTCTCGTATTTTCTACTAACGCGAATTTCCTCCGATTTCTCTCTTTTTTCCCACTGGCCGGGGGGAGAGCGGAGGGGGGATGGGGAGGTCGGTTCAGCCATGTTATTTCGTCATCGCGCGGAAAACTCCGCTGAATTTTAGAGGCTAGGAAGAGCATACAAAGGAAGAAAGAAGGAGGGAAAAGCAAGAAGAAGAAAAAGACACGGTGTCGTTTCTTACAAACGAACGAATGAGACCCCAAGTATGCACGTTTCCGTACGCGATGAGGTGAGAGGATTTTTTTCCGCGTCTTTCTCACCAGCGGGCTTCTTAAGGTCATAAAGAATTATTTTAATTCTCCGCCAGGTCTAATTCCATTCCGTTTCGACGAAGCAAAATTAATTTTGCCCCGGTTTTTACGCTTCTCGGGACAGCATGAGAATTACCTCCGTCTCAGCAGCAAAACGATAATTTATAGGAGATTCGCGGATCTCGTGGTCTCCCTCGAGATACTTTTCTCAGCATTCTTAGCAGGCATTGGAGGGGAACGGAGTAGAGGATAGGAAATGAGAGAGAAAAGGAAGAGGAGACAGTGGAAGGAAGAGATTGTACTCGATGGTTCGGCCACTCCTGCGGCGCACGAGCCACGTTGGATGCAAGAAGATGGAAGCAAAAGGAGCGAAAGAGGAAGGTAATAGGTACATAAAGAAGGCAGATAGATGGGAATGGAAGGAGAGAAGCGTGGAACGAGAGCAACATATCGATCTCACGAGACTTCCGTCTGTCCGATTCTAGGCTCTCTTTTATCGTAACGCTCGATCGGATCGACCGTTCCGCCGACGAGCCCTTCTATCTGAAACAAGCGCCCACCCTCTTTTCTCCTGCTCTCTCTCTTCTCGAGACCACCCTTTCTCGTCGTCCGGCCTAGTACAGCCCCCTCTATCGGCCTTCTGGCATCACCGTGTGGGAGGTAGGGGCTGGGCTCCAGAAACTCATTTGAATCACGTGCAACGACGAGTCAAGTGCAGCCGTACTACGCGTTTACGCCGACGTATATACGCGCGCTACTATGTAGTTACTAACGATCTCCTTTTTCTCCCTTTCTCTCCCCCCCCCCTCTCTCTCTCTGCCAAGTTTCGCATTCGCTCGTCCTTAGCCTCGCGATTCCGGCTATTTATTGATCTCAACATCCGTAACCGTGTCGTCGTGCCGCGTGTTTCATGTTCGTCTCAACCTTCGAGTCCTTTTTTTCTCTCGTCCCTTATTTTCCCCACTTTCCCTTACTTTTTCACCCGTCTTACAGCAATATCGGACAGAGTATCGGATCCCTTGCTTCCGAAACCTATTATTCACGCGTTCTCGTTTCTTTTCATTCTTCTTCTGTCGTTCGCATTTGATACCGTTTCCACCGTATTTCGTCGGTTGTCTGCCCTTCGAAATTTCTCTTTATTCGACCGTTCGTTCGTAATGGATATCAGGATTGGGCGGCAAACGACGACGAGCGCGATTACGAGGGGTGCCGACGCTACGGGGATGAAGATGGTGGAGCAAAGGACGAGAGATGGAGACAGATAGTGGGAGGGGGTGAGAAATAGAAGGAATGGGAGGAGAAAGAGAAAGAGAGAGTGTGGAGAGAGCAGAGGGGCGTGGCAAGATGAATGATCGCAAGACGCGGGAGTATTGATCCCGGGGACTGTGCTCTGACTGTTTCTCTCTTTCTCTCCACATCCCTCTCTCACTTCGGCATATATACGCGCGTCCTCCCCTTTCCCGTTCTCTTCTCCACCGTGTTCCTCCGTGGTCGTTCTATCTCTCTTTACTTCTCTTTCGCTCGCTGTCGGAGTTTCGCACCCCTATACCGGGTGGCGCACCGGTTAGGTTCAGGGTCATGCGTGCACCCCTTTCGCCTGTGTGTCGGCTCCTTCCTTCCTTCCTTCCTTCCTTTTGCGAAGGGAGAGAGCCTGCTCCGGCCTGGATCGAAGTCGAAGAACCCAGAGAGGAGAGATCGTTTGCTCTCTCCCTCTCTTCCTTTCTCTCACCCCGATACAAGGCAAACGGTCGCCGACCAGTTCTACCACTGTGAGAGAGATCAACGACATTTTCGGCGCCCAACGTACCCCTGGTGTGCGTGTCGCGTTGCCACGCCGCCGTGGCCCCTGCCAGAAAGGATAAATCCTGATCTCTTGGACGTCGGTATAATGAACCTTCTCCTTGTAAGCTCCGCGCACCCTTTACCCTTCACCCTCCCGAAAACCATCCGACGAGGAAGATACGATGACAACGACGACAACGACGACGACGACGACGACAACGGGACCCACATTCGACGTTGGAACGATCTCGATACAACTAGAGCGGCATACACCGTGCGTTCGAATCGGCAACGAGCACACGGTCGCGCTGGAAACCTGTATCCGTTTATCGCGCGTAGCAGCGCACACCGAGGTCGGAGTGCCTCGTTACTGGTGCCGCTAATCTAGTATTTGCAGAACATTACGCGCGCGTCTGAGAACGTTCGATTGTGGCGACGCGGTTCGTGGAAATGCGCCAACCTTTAAAACGTATTCCATATACGCCGCGTTCGTTACATTAATTTCACCTTGGCTACGTGTCTGAATTAACGACGAGCCGGAGCATCCGATGGCCGTCACGATCGGCGGGACAATTTGCACCCTGTGCAGGACGTGCGTCTCATGATTTCGCGCAGTGGAATAAATGGAAGGATTTTCTCTTATCGACCGACAGATCGTCGCGGAACGACGATGAATCGTCGATTGTTCGTCACGGATCCTTTGAATTCCCTGAGTTCGGGGTCACACGGTCGTGAAACGAACGTCGTTTCGAGTTATCTTTCGTTTGCGGCAAGCCGACTCGTCCGTTGGAATAGAAAATATCGTGAAATCGTGGAATCGGCGTACACGGTCGATTAACCGGGCGCCAGCCGACAATATTAATAACCGAAGCACGGTTGGTGCACTGGAAGCGAGTCTCGACCGACGTGACAGTCCCGCGAAAAGTAATTACCGGCTCTCTTGTTCTGCGAGCTTAATATGACGGAACGACCGTCTGAAATAACATTCTGCATGCTGGTCGACGCTAGTTTTTCTTTTTTAAAAGCTTCCAGGATTAAAATGTTCTTTTCACGGTCGTTACCGTCCGACCAACCGAGACCCTTGTAATACTTTGTACGAACTTCTAATTACTCCAACCGTGACACGCTGTCGTACGATCGCCTACCTGAGAAAAATAATTCTTTCCTGCTATTTTCATTTAATATTTATATCGGTTCTGTGAACCTGGTTAATCGTCGAGCATCGGAAATTAACGCGCTACCAACCTGTACACGCAAGGTACACGCAGTGAAGGACGGCACCCCGGGAACACCGAGCAACGTTTTACGTAATTAGTAGCAATTTCTGTGCGCAACGCCTCGAGCAGGAGTGTAATCAGGAAGGCAGTGTGGCGAGTGTGTTCGCCTTCCGTTATAAGCAGCGCATGAAATGCGATGGGAGAACCACCACAATATATCGTAATAACAGGTGGTACGACAACTGACGTAATGATAGGTTTAACGACTAGAGCACACCGATCGGAAAGCGAAAGTTTTCTTTTGAAATTTTCCGTGATGTTTCACACTCGATGTGCATGCTTCCAACGCCGGTATGTCTAACATTTACAGACCATTGACGAATCGCCGTGACGCGCGAGACGAAGAAAGAGAGGGAAGACTACTATACCATTTACCAGATCGATTCCCGCACAGGAAACGTAAATCTCTACGCTGGGGATATCTAGAGAAACGACTCGGTAATGCAGGTGAGCGCACTGAGCGAACCACCAACTTGTACCGCTTATGATTTATAATTCATGCACCGTGTAAGGTGAGCTTCGACGCGATCCAACGACCCTCGGTTAAAGACGTTAATGAGAAGCGTGTGCCACTGCCGCTCGTGAAGAAGGGAAACTTCCCTAAGTAGGTTACCGATATAAGAGTTATCCACACTTGTCCGATACTATTCGATGGTGGACGCGTTTCCATTCAACATACTGCTTATCGGAAAATAGTAAGATCATAGAAAGAGGAAGGATCGGGCGGGGGAAATTGATATTGTTATTTCTTGAAATTATAAAATTGACAACCGCGAAACGCTGGTGAAAAGCAGGTAAGAGAGAATCTCGTTAAATTCCAATTAATTAAGGCGAATCGAATTGAATGTTTCTACGGTTGATATCTGAGTAGGTCTGCGCACGATATCGGTAGTGGATGACGTCAAGCGCGTCAGTTTCTCACGATTCCCCGATGGATGTTCCCGATCGGATAATCGAATTTCTCGGTGACGTCTACGCACGACCGGAATAGCCGTCGAAAGATAGAGACAGCATCTATTCGCGAGGCACACCTTTCGATGAATATTTATACGATTATTTTCAAAGATTGACTGTGGATAGATTTAAAATAAGTCGGTCACAGATGCGATAACGATACACGCAGCCTCTCGTATCGATACATGCAATTATATAACGCTCATTTTCCGACGCTCGTTAAAATAACGTGACCGTTAATGGTCACGTGGAACGCGGTGAAACAATGAGCAGGATTAACGCTCGGTGTCCTAGAACAGCGAAAAGATTTATTGGAACGAACGTACGTGTCCGTGACAATCGTACGATCGTTACGCGGTATTCTATACATAGTTCGCGAAATTTCTTAATTACGTTAACGAACGACAACGGTATTCAAGGTAAAAGCGGAAGAAAGCGATTAAGCATGCGTTTGGCGTATATTTGGACCGCCTAACGATAATATATACGCGCTATCAGAGTAACCGTCAGGTTTCCGTTTACGTCGCGGTATAATTACTGCTTTGTAGATATAACGATGAGTCTGTAACATTGGAATCAGAGCCTCCGCAGCCGGAGAAATAGGATAAACAACGAAAAGGTCAAAAGGGTGTGTAAGTCTGCCTACTATACGCTTGGTATTTACGACGCTAACAAAAAAAAAAAAGAAGAAAAAAGGAAAAGAAACAAAAAGAGAGCAAAGAAAACGAGAAACAAATAAGCAAAGTCGAGGAGAGAAAAAATGGATAAAAAGTTTGAATTTAGTGGTAACGAATTCTCTCGTTTTCTCGCGCTTAACGAGGACCCAATTAGCTTCAATTTTTTGGCAAAGTAGCTTTCCCCGTAATCGAGCCTTGTGACCACGAAAGATTTCACAGCGGCTCCTCCACTTTCTTTTTCTCTCTTCTTGAAACTCTGTTTTATCGTCGAGTTCCCCGTGTGAAAATCAGCAATAGGAGCAAACAGACGTTACGTTTTTCGTTTCGCCCTTTCGAGACACGCAATTAGAAGAAAGGGGCGGAGAAAATTCGTACGCGGTTTCCCCCCGATACGTTCTCTCCCTGCTATCGAAGATATTTCTCTTCCTTACGAACCAATCCCCGTCATGCAATCGTAAAACGTTGGGAAACGAACAACGAAAGAAAGAAGGAAAACCGTAAGTCTTCGAGATAGATCAATAACAAACCATTACGAGCTATCTTTCTCTCCCTCTTGCGACTGCTTTCTCGTCGAGGCTTCAAAGCGACCAAGTGCAGAGAGAAGTTGCTCGGTCGCTTCAACCCTTGAATCAATCCTCTTGCTAATTATCGTTGTCTCGCGCGGAAGAAAAAAGAAAGAAAAACGAAAGGAAAGTGGCACGACAAAGCGGACAGATCGATAAATCAAGGGGGGAGAGAGAGAGAGAGCATCTTCTTGGCGGACTATCCGGCTCGGGACGGGAAACAAAAGGAATCGACAGGTTTTTCCCTTTCGCCACACCTAAAACATCGTCCACCGCGAAATAACCCATTTCGTTCGGCCGGCGACTGATTGTTTAACCCCTTTTCCGGTACGTTTTACATCGATTTTCCTCGGTTTCGCCCTCCCGACCTTTTTTCCTTGTTCGCTTCTCTTCTCTCGCTCCCGGAGGCGTTTCATTAGCCGCGACGAGAACATTTGTTTTTGTCGATGTTTCGCGGTAGCTTGTCGCTTTTTATTTTTCTTCCTCCACTTTCTTTCTGTCTTTCTCGCTCCTCTCGCTATCCACCACACCATGCACATTCTCTCTCACCGATTTTCGCTCCTCTTTTCACGCGTACCTATCCCCACCGAGAGTAAAAAAACGGTAACGAGTCGTATTTCGACCACTTACTCGATTAATCGACCGGCTGTTATGAAAGCGCAGGTAAACTTTGTTTTTACTTTAATCTCCTCTATAATTTCTGTTACTCGTGCAGAAATATCGCGGTTATTGCGCAACCGTGGGTCGATCACCAATTTCTTATAGCAATTGGATTTTTACACGTATGTACATATATGGAATATGTGGCAAATAGTGACGCGAGTTACAGTAGCAAGAACGATTCATCGATTCGTGTGTACAGTGATGCACGTTTGACGCGTACTTTTCGATTCTCTACGGTGTTATATAATCTCGCTATAGGCGATTCGGCATAGCACATCCGTGTGGCGTTTTACGTTTCTTATTTCAAAGTGGAAAACTACGAGTTTAATTTCTTTACTCGAGTAATATTCGCTCACCTTTCCGATCCTGTGAAACAACCTGACGATTTCTTCATGTATCCACGTGTCATTGCAGGCATCCTCACTATAAACATCGTTGCGTCAGTTTTTCGAGAGAAAAGACCGCGCACTCGCGTCAATCACACGTCTGTCCCTCGTAAAGTAACACAATCCGATTATCACAAGGTACGAAACTACAGGCAAGAGAGATGCTGCTGGCGTAGTCACGACAGCCTGCGATTTCTCTATGCGAAATCTCTTTTATTATCCTGGTTTCGCAGCATTTTCACCGTCGTTCCTTCGTTCGTTTCTCTAGTCTCTGCGTCTCGTCGAAAAGAGCTACGATCGCATTATGGACGATAGAAAATGGTTACTGGCCGTCGAGATGGATCCTTACGCCGGCATTTTATGACATCCTTCGGGCGAAACGGCCATGCGTGGCCGGCGAGATCCTCGCCACCTTTTCCGCGTTTAAGGCTGCGTTACAATGCCATTTTCCGCTCGCTCCAAAAATAAAACCAACCATACTTTTCCGCCTCTTTTCCACGCGTCTCGTTTTTTCCTTACCGTAACGCATCGGAATTTCCACGATGCGTCACGTACTCGGAGATTTTTTCACACTCTACTATATCAAAGCTCTTAAAGCGTGCGTTATTGTATACAAATTCTTTCGTTTGTACGTTCGTCGTATTCGACGAATCTCTTCCTCGTACAAACCGTGTGCCAAAAATTACTTTCAAAATCAACCGAAATTATCCGAATTCCGTCGTTCACATCGTGCGGGGTTCCTCGATGTCCGACTAGCATGCCACTTTTTCACTTATCCGTTCCTCGTCTGTGTACCAGTGTCAGCCTCTCGATCGTCCAACTCCGTCACAGCGAAGAACTCGCGAACAACGTGATTCATCGACGATCCGACGAGATAACCGCACGAAGGAAGCAGCATCCTTGTTCTCGCGTTCTCCAACGCCCCCCACGGAATAAAAAAAGGGGCGCCGCAGCGGGAACGCCTTGGCGAATCGCTCGATCGTTTCGACGTGAACGTCGACACTGTTTCACGGTCGGCGCGACTCTCACCGTGTCGATCGCGATCGTGGAAAAAAGCCAAGGTGGATCGGGAATGAAAAGTTTTACAGCAAGAACGCGGCTCGTCGACTGATAAATCCGCATTTAGTGTAGCGGCCTCACGTACACGCCGGGCTCTTGCCGGCTCCACCA